GTGGCTCCTACATGTCACTTTCTAGTGGAAAGCACACTGACTGCAGTTCAGAAATATCCCAAGGAGAAAAATATTTTCCAGAATCACACTCCAAGCCCAAATGTCCCACTTGCAGACAACGTGCTGGCTTTGTGTACATACAGTAGGGACCCAAACACCGCTCCTCCTCATTGGCAGGGCAAGAATCTCACTGGACCTGTGTGACAAGGTTTGCCATCCCATAACCCCTTCACATGCCACTGTCATTGCTAGCAACACACACCAAATATTTTTTGCTTATCAGAAGTAAAGAGGCGGCAGCACGTGCGAAGTCTTTTGGCCTTGTCCATTTTGTCCGGGTTCCCTGAGGAGAGGTGGAAGGACAGCCAGTGCAGGTGTGCACTTGCCTTTACAGCCTTTGCTCTGAACACAGTGCAACCCTTATAGCTCCTCTATCTCGTGCTGCTGTGCTGGTGCTTTGCAGCACGGCCAACATTTATGGTATTATGTAGAGCTCCAAGTCTTCAGTTAGCAATACATCCTCCATCCACTCCTGGTGTCAGAGAGTTCATACTTTGACATGGATGAAAAATGAGAGTCCCTTCTGTTTGGATAACCCTGGAACGGCACAAGTCTTCCAAAATTCAGCAGAGGTATTGAAAGCATGTCACCACTGTCTCTTTTGAGCTGTGGGATGCAGCCTGTTGACACTGATGTTTGTTGAAGTGTCCTTGAGTCTGTTCATGATGGACTTTGCCCTGTCAGTGACAGAGAAGGGGCACATTTCCTTGTGTGGATCATTTCCTTTCAGTGGAAGGAGCCAGTGTTGATGCCAAGTGCTGGTTTGTTTGCTGGGTCCCCTGCCAGGGAGAGGATTTCTTCAGTTTGGGGGCTTGATGGCAGCAAGAGCAACTGCAAGCCATTTCTCTCACACCTTGGGCACCCTCTTCTCTTTCCTTCCCGTTCACACCTCACCAAAGAGAAAGAGGCATCCATATGGACCTTCTAGGTCTTGTTATAGCACAGATGTGCAACAAGAAGCCCACAGGCAGCAGCAGTACAGACCATGGCCCTGGCACTGGACTATTTGTAGAGTTTTTCTATTACAGCAAAAGGTCTGGATGATGTGGCAGTAGGAACTCTAATGAACTTCAGATGGACAATTATCTAATGGAGCAGCTTTCCTCCAAAAATGTCATTCTGTCACAGTCAAAATGCTTTGTGAAACTATCGTTTTACCAACTATTTCTCTGAGAAAAAAATGCCAATAATTTTTTAAATAAAACGTTTAGGCCTGGGTTTTTTATTTTATAGAATATATACGTTTTTGAAAGTTATAATGATCTAAATAAACCAAAACTGTTTATTTTTATGGAATTTTCCTTTGTGGAGAATTTCAACATTTTGAGGTTTTGTTTTGAATTGGAATGAAAACAAATTTCAAAATCTCAAAATTGTCTGTGAAACACAATTTCCATTCTCTGGCCAGCTCAAGTTTCAGGCTAGAGCATGTATAACAGATCCCCTGCAGGGAAGCTCTTTAGGAAAAATGTCTCTGAATGAATTTACTGGTGCAAACATATAGTTTTAAAGATTTGTCAATTTGTCCAAGCAGACATCTCCCTGCTGAAAGCTCCTCCAAGTCATAAGAAGCCTTCACAAGTTTCTGAAAGACTTATTTCTGAAAGCTATTGCTAACTTTGTACAATTGATGGTGTTCATTTCCTGGCATTATATTAATTAGCCAGTCAGTTACAGTTGCCACTTATTTGCATCAGACCACAGAATTGATACTGTAACTATTTTCTTGGTCAGTTTTAATTGAACTCCTTTCAATAGTTTAAACCAGAGATTATAATTTTTATATTACATTTTCAATGTAGGCCCTGTCTGTTCAGACTGAAATATTCAGTAGAACAGAATTTATATCCTACAGTATTTCAGTGAGTTTAAATATTTACAGCCTTAGCAAATAATTCCAAATGACTTGCACTTTCATGTGTAAAGAAGAGAAACCTACCCTAAGACAAATTAATTGTTAGGGACATTGATGGAGACTTACTACGAGTGCTGTTTTCAAGTGAGTTGCTTTGGATTTACAGTAACATAAATGAGATCATAGCTGAATCTCTTCACAGCAGCTTTATATATCATAAAGGTATGAAGCAGCCCAATACTGAAGTGCATTAATATAAAATGACTGTAAATTAATCACACACTCTTTAAGAAAACAAAACAAGACAAAACAGAAAACAAAACAAAATAAAAACAAAAAAGACCCTGCATGCCATAGGGGCTTTTGCTGCCTTTTTCTGGTTGGGCTTTACTGGAGAGAATTTGGTGTGCACTGTGCTGAGGTACCCCACGGAATGTCTCTGCTCCTCCAGAAAGCAAAGGCTTCGTGTGGAGGTGAAAGCTGAACTAAACACACACTCTGCAGTCAAAGTTTGTTTATAGCTCCTGACTCTGGGTCAGTTATGCGGCAGTTTCCCTAAACAAACAGGCAAAACACAGGTCAATGTCCAAATACTGGAGTGCAGCTTATTAAAGCTGCTTCAATAGCTGGTGCAGGAGCAAAGCTGCAAAACAGGAACAGACTGCCACTGAAAGACAGTGGAGCAAACTCATGCCCAGGTAGGACTCTGGGCTGTCCTTGTCTTTCACTAAGATGCCTTTGACCAGCTATCTCAGCATGACTTGGGAAGTTATTGAAAGCACATTTGGCACTTGATGCATTTGTTGCAGGATCAGCAACACAAATCTTTCAATCCACTGTCTTGAGCTGTTATATTGTAAGGTGTGTGTTAATTCATCACAACAGGAATCACTCCCTGAAGGACTGGAGAGGGGAAACCAAACCAAAATTGCATGGTAAATCGACCCAGGAATGACACACAGAAGCACAGCCAGTCGAATCAGTTCTGTATGTGTCCCTTCCCCATGCCTCAGTTCAGCAAGGTATTTTCTGGAATTGTTACCCTGTTAAGTTAGCTGTTGACTTGTATATACAAACCACCTGCTTTGCTAGAGTGCCCATGCATCTTATACCCCTTAAGGTAGTTTTACAATCTCTATATAAATTCCCTCCCTCCCTCCCATGTATTGTCCAAAAAACTTGTTATCCTTCTCCCTGCTCAGAGTCTGACATTGCAAAAGCACTGCCAAGGCATCTTGTCACACAGAGGTAGCACTGCTAACACTGCAGCTCAGCTCTTTCCCTCTTGGAAGGGGAGCTGTTACAACTGGAAGTGAAGAGGAAAGGGTCTAGCAGGGAGTCAGCTCCTTGCTGGGAAGGACCTGTTTGTTGTTGTCATGTGCTTGATAGTATTTCACTTGTTTGATATCAGCAAATTCATCAGCTGGAGTCTTGGTAACTTCCTTCAGTGTAAAATTTCAATACAGTGTCACAGAATTTTCTGGGTTGGAAGGGACCCAAAAGGATCATCAAATTCAACTCTTAAGTGAAAGAGATGGCCCATACAGGGCACTAAACCCACAACCTTGGTGTTATTAGCACCACGCTCTAACTGAGTGTATCTCAGGGCCAAAGTCATTAAGTTTTACTCACAAATTAAGGCTCTTTCCTATCCAGTACACCTCTGTTCCTGTGTTTTGCCAAGTTTTCTTTAATGCTGTGGTTTTTCTCTTGCATTTTTGCTACCTGCCAGTATTTCTGAAGGGGACTTTCAGAAGCACTGTGTCTTGGTTTGGCTCTGCTCTGCCCATAGCATGGACTGCCTTTGACAAGAGTAAATATAAACCAGAACTGTGTGGCTTTGAACACCCCAAACGGGAACAAAAGTAGAGATTTGCAAAATGAAAGCAACCTTACTCATGCAGATTAATTCTAAGGGAAGTGGGCAACGAATTGGTCCCGGGGAGATCACAGTACAGGAATCCCTGGATTCCTAGACAAAACCTGCCTAAATGAGTTTGTGGTCAGCACTTGAAGCAAGCAATTGACCTTCCCATCAGCTCTTACAACAGCCTGCTGATGGCAGAGCTCCATGTGGCTGGCACAGGGAGCTCCTCTGTGGCTTCTGCTGGCAGTCTGACGTGTGAAGGTGAGCTCCCACATTAACTGTGCACCACAGCGTGGAAACCACTGCTCCTTTGGAGTCCACCTGGGATGCTTTTTTTCTACTCAGAGTGTAAACATGTGAGCAAACAGGGAGAATGGTTCAAAAAGCAGCAAGAGTTATTAAATGCTTAAAAGAGAAGGAGATGGTGTTCTGCTGAGCAGGAGTGAGAGGGAGGAGACTATCCAACTTGGGGGACAAGGGATTTCTTCAGGGAGCCACAGAAATATTTGTCTGGAAGCCCCAAGAGAAAATGAAGAAAAGTGTGCTTTATAATTGATAACAAGACAATCTTGTATCACTGAGCTCTAGCAAGCTAGGAAATATTTTCTTTGGGAAAGTTCCGGACTTTAAAGTCTAACAGAGATTTTCTAATAGCCAAAGAATAGATACATGCATAGAGTAATTAAAACGACATTAGATTCCCATGCAGAATATATAGTACTTTTAGAGCAGCAAGTATTACACAGGACTAAAAACCTGTGAGAGAAATCTCAACTGCTGCCATATAGTCAGCCAGCTACTATGATCTGCAAATGTGTCAGCAGGAAATAATGGGAGAAATTAAATGGGTCAGTATAAAACCAATAAAAAAGTAGGAGAAACACAAAATCTATGACATAAAATCAATGTGTCGTTCATTTCTTATTGTCAAGCTCCTTTTGCAAGATGGAAATAGCTGGTTTGCAGTGGAACAGCACGAGAAAAGCTTTCTTACATCTTTCTAAGCAGATGAACACAATCACAAAGCCTACTTAACAATTGACAATTCTATTTTATTAGTAGTAGTAGTACAAGCATCAGCAGCAGTAATGGTTGTTGTGTTACAGTGGCCTTGAGAGTCACGAACTGTATCCCCTGGCCTGGTGCATGTTGCACTCTACAAGCACACAGTCACAGGTGGAAGAGCTTAAAACCTTGATCTCACTTATTTGTAAAATTCTGATCTGATTTACAATTTGCTCTGTTCCAGCAAAGAGTTGTTTGTGTGCTTTTCTTTACCACTGTGAGGAATGTGACTACTCACAATGTGGAAAGCAAAGCACATGCAGGGTGAGGATCAGACAAAAGCAAGCAAGAGAGAGGAGATGGAGAATATTAGCTCCCCTGAAGACTTTATCTGCCTTTGCCTCTATGGAATGTGAAGCTTTATTTACTGCTGAGCCTTTCCACACTCAGAAAACACTGGTGAAGACCCAGAGCATGCTTAGATTGTCTTAAAACTTCAGTTATTTAAAAATGGCAGCACGGTTTGGCTTCTTCTTTGACATCTGGTTTCTGAGCCTTGCAATGCATTTGGATCACATTTTCAGGCTTTTCCCTGCGACTGGAAGAATTAGAAATTTATTGTATTAAAAAAAAAAAAAAAGAAAAGAAAAGTGGGAAAGTCATGTGATTGTGTGCTTCCAGGAGCTGAGACTTGAAGAAAAAGCCCACCCCAGACTCACAATAAAATCGTGAGAATTGAAAACACCAGACTTAAGAAGCTCATCCAAGCTTTCTGCTGTGCATATGCAAAACGAGGGTGTTGTCAGGACTAGTTAGCTAATGTCATAAAGCACTCAGAAGAACAACGTTAGTTATTATTTAGGAGGAAACCAGAGTGTAAAGTGTTTTACATATAAATCTGCCCTTTAGAAGAGCAACATTAAAAGCACAAGATTGAGCTCTGGATTACTGAGGGGTAATAAAGAGGTTTTAAACACAGCCATAACTCATTCTGCATGAAAATGACTCAGCAGTGTCTTGACCAAGCTGGAAACAGGACCTCTGGAAGTGATTAGGGGTGGACTGTCTCCCAACATGCCTTTCCCCATGGTGGATGTGCAGAGCAGCCCAGTGAGAGGAGCCAACCCCCGAGCTGAGCAGGGAGAGGGTGGCTCTGCACCTCCACAGCCTCTGTCTCAGGAGCAGAGTGAAGAATGGTGGCAGTGGCTCTGCTGGCATGACAGGCAATGTCTTGCAAAGAAGCAGATTGTGCTGCAAAATACATGGTGTGGCCGTCCTTGTGTTTGCACTGCAGTGTTTTTGGTGGTTTCAGATGATCTGGAGCTTGGCTGTGTGGACTGAGCACCCCCACTGGCAGTTGCAGCCCATTTGGTGCCCTCCTGAAGTGCCTCTGCCCGTTTGCTTTTAGGCAGAGCAATCCAGTTTGCACCACTGAGACCAGGCTGCCGTGCAAGCAGAATTGGGTGAGTGGGGACAACAGGGAGGTTTCCTTCAAAAGCCACTCCTCAGCTGAACCAATCCACTGCCACCCATAGCTCAGCATGGCTGGTGTAAGGGACGTCATCTCTGAGGGCAGAACTGAGCCTTCTGCAAAAAGTATTTTGGGCCAAGCATTTTTCTCCTTTGTCCACTTGTCAGTTCATAAAAATATTGCCACGGGGGCGAGGACTTGGTGACAGCAAATGCGAGCCTGCTGACAAAAGGTTTGCTTTTCCTTTGCACCTTTTGCAGGCTCCTCAGAAGTCCCTCCTTCCCCAGACACCCCCAGCTAAGAATCATTAGCTTCAGTCCTTGGGACCAGGTCTGTGAGCAGCAGAGCTCTGTTCACTTTGATGGCAGTAGAATAATGCACACATGTTGAAATGTTCATTTCCTGGCTTTAGGAGCTGCCCTAGAGCTGGACATGCTACACAACTGCTTGGAACCCTCTGGTCTGCTCCCCTCTCAGATGCAGGGAGAAGGGAGTGCTGTTACTTTGTTAGGAGAGAGCTCAAAACAAACAAGCCGCCACCAACTGCAGTTCATGTATATGGTTATGATTTTAAATTGCAAACAGGAGGCTACTTGGCTTTGCATAGTAAGCATTGTCTGGCAGTGGATGGGCTCCTCTGATCTCCCTGAGCCTTGGATTGCTGCTGTGAGATTGTGTCACAACTAGTCATTAATTATTTCATCAAAAGCTTATTTTTCTCATTTCCTCATCATTATTTCCACCAGTTATTGGCAAGGCTTGTTTCTCCCCTAAGTGGGGTCTGGGCTTTGCAGAGAAAAACATAGACCTTAGGAAAAAAAAGGAATGTTAACATATGGGAGTTCACGTGTGTATGTGTGCATACACTGAGCAAGAAATTACTGTGTATGTGTGTAAACATTGCTCTGACCCTCTTCTCATTTACTCTGGAAGCAAATTCCCCTTCTTTCAACCTACAGATTCCTCCTGTCTTCCTACCTGAGAGCGACAAAATATTGTGAAAAAAAATATTGTGCCAAAAAAAAAAAGGTATTGTCATTCTCACCATGGGAACGAACAAACACAGAAAAGCAGAAAGGAAAAAGGTGAGTGCAGATATCAGGAGATTCTAACTGGACCTTCGTGTCCTTGGGAGATACTTATTTTTTTAAAGGGCCATAGTATTCTTGGAAAAATGGAGACCCCTCCTGGTATTGCCAGCCCTGATAGGCAAGACAGGATAGCACAACTCATGGATTATCAGATTACAAGCACAAGAGATTGGGACTACCAAGCCAAAAAAGTGGGGGAGGAGCAAGGCAGCCAAAACGTCCAGAAAAGAGGCTCAGTAAGCTCTCCTGTGCCCAGCTGCTGAGATGACAGCAAAGAGAGAAACAAGGACATCCACCAACACCTTCCCCCCCTCGGAGAACAAAAGCAGCCTCACAAACACATTGCAGGCAACAGCCTGAAGCAGAGGCTGCCAGGCTCAAGTGGGACAGAGGTGAGAGGAATGCCCTGGAGAGGCTCTCCAGGCACTCCCAGGAACCCAACAGCCTGGATGCTAAACAAGACATGTTCTGTTAGACAGAAAGCTGCTGCTGCCACCCTTCCATAGCCTGAAGCTGGAGCAGCTGGGCTGCAGGGGACAGGAATCAGCAGCAATTTGCTGTACCTACGTACGAGTCATCTTGGTGAAGAGCCTGGCTGTTTTTGGGAAACACAGAGCCTTTTGGGAAACACAGAGCCTTCTCCTCCCAATCTGTTCAGCATGTTGTGTGCAGAGCAATGAGGACTGTCAGCAAGATCCCTCTGTGTCTGACTCAGCCATGGCGCCGTGATAAGCACGGTTTGTCCTGCAGCTTGTGCTTAAGAACGCAAGACTTACCACAAGGGCTCCAGCTCTTTCACAACACCAGAAGAGCAGCCACACTGAGCCAGGCCAAAGGTCCATCTATCTCCTGTCTCCAACAGTGGGCAAAAGCAAAATGCCTGGGGAAAAGTATGGACACAGGGTAAGCACATACAATATTTCCCCTGAGTGCTCTCCCAGCCACCAGCCATCTCCAGATTAGAAAATTTTGGAGCCAAGTATGTTTTTGTGTACTTGGAGCCCTGTAAACTGCCCTGGGTTGCATCCTTCAACAGTCCTTTGTGCTTTCCCTAATTCTTAGGCTCTCTCAAGACTTACTCTTTCTGATCTCTCGTTTATGTGCCCTCCAGATGCTCTTCACTGTCTTCATGCTGGATGTATGCCCCTCTATATAATTCATCCGGGTTTTCCACCCTTAGTCATACATGCTCCTCCTTTCTTCTCCTGTCCTTCAAACTTCACCACAACTCATGAAGAAGATGCCTAAAGCACCTCCTGGGACTGTTCCTCACTTGAAAGTTGACTCTTCCATGCTACAAACTCTCAAAAGTTTTTGATTGCAGGGTACACACATCGTCCTGTGTTTCCTCATCCACCCTGTTTCTTTCTGACCCTTCATTTTTGCAGTTCTCTGTCCAGGGTTGGTGGCCCTCTTTGAAGTTTGTCTGTGTTCCCCACCACCCCAAATCTCTGTGGATTATGAGAATTTAAAAAAAAATATTTGGTTTATTTGCAGCAGAACTGTTGTTTAGAAGTGATGGACCAATTTTCTGGTGCTGTCACCTTGTTGTAACCAAGGTTGGGCCATGGAGTGTGTGACACTCCTGGATTAGGAGGATGAAACACTCATCAGATTTCTGCAAAGTGGGAAAAAGACAAAAGCCTTAGGTCTTTCCAGAAATCCCCGTGCAATCTTTTCTTGGCTCCTGAGAAAGACCCATTAAACTGTCTGCAAGCCTTATCAACAGAGACCCCATTCTGAGGGGACACTACATGTAGTGGCTTGGCCTTAGTAATTCAGAACTGACAGTGAGGAGACAAGTCCCTGAAATCTGTGGCTCCTTCCCAGAAGCAGCAAAGTCATTTTGAGTGCTACTAACAGTCAGGGGAGGAGTCAGGGTAAGAGATCACAGTTGTCCCTTTTGGGAAGGTGGTGTCCATACTTCATCCTGGACTTCCCAGTGATGAATCACCTCTCCAAGAAAGCCATTCCCATGAGTTCAGTGGGTTCAAAGAACTGCTCTTGCAGTTCTTTGCTCATGGTGATGAGTCAAGCTGCTGCTCTCTATGCTGTCTGTTGGATTGTCATCAACACTGACATGAAGAGCCCACTGTTGCTCTGCATGGGGAAAAATTTACAGGAGCTTCCTCACTAGGGCTACAAGCTTTGAAATGACACTTTCTTCCATCTGGGGAAGATGAACTAATCTGGTGAAACAAAGGAAGGCTGTTATTCCTCTCACCCCTCCTTCCTTGGTGAAGGGAAGGAGGTCATGTAAGGTCATATGATTTCTCTTACTCTTTCCTCATCAGAGCGAAGGATTGAGCATTGTGGGCTCTGGGCAATGTTTTCCCCATCCACATGTTTCACAGACACTCCTTATAAAGAGTTAATTTCTCATCTGGTCTCTAATTTTGAAGGTTAAAGTCCATTGCTCACAGAAATGGTACACTATGGGCAGGATTCTTGTAAACATCTCCACGTTCCCCTGTGCTGACAGGAAGGTGCAGAGACCGTGTCTACATATCTGCAGGGAGCATGTTTGGAAGCCCACCAGCCTCAGGCTTCTCCCAGCCAGGAAGAGTGCATCATTTCAGGCAGTGTTCTTGTGAGCTCCTGAGTGGTGCCCTGCCAAAGGAAAAGCAAATAGCGAGGCAAGCTTCGTCTTGCTGCACTCACAAAGGAAGGAGAGGATGTAGGAAAGTGTGTAGCTTAACCCTTGGATGCTCATCACAAAGACTTGGCACAGGAGCCATGGAAACACTTCTGGAGTGTCAAACCTCTGCCAAGTATTGCTCACCTCTGCAAATGGCTCGGGGAGAGTCTGTACATACTCTACCCCTACAACACACCACGACTCCAAAAGCTATCTGAGCAGATGATCAGCTGCAAACTGGTCCAAAACTGGAATTAGCTCCTGCCCTAGAAGGAGCACACAAAGCACAGAGGAAAGCTATTATCAACATAAACAGAGTCTTATTTGGCTTTGCCTTTGTTGCCCGTTTGTGTCTGGTGTGAAGTCATTGTCCTGTAACGAGCAGCAGGCACATGCATTCATGACACTATCAAAGCAGAAGGAGATGTTGTCATTCTCCACTGGAATTAGAAATCTTGCCAGGAGGAGGAAAGAATATTTTTAAATATGGTGTTGCTACATTCCCATGACTCCACAGAGCAGGAAAATATTTTAAGAATTCTTACTTAACATCTTTATCAGTGTATAGGCAAAATAAGATGCTTTTATAGCTAAGATTTATCTGTGCAAAAATATGGGGATAATAAAGGATAAAAACCCCCAGCTACTGTAAATATGTAAATCAGCCTTTGGTTGGAAATGTTTCACTCAGTCCAGGGGAAGAATGTTATGTATTACCTCCACCCACATTTTTATTCTACCTATTCTTTTAAATCACTTGTGCATTTAAAATTGTATTAAATATTTTTAATAGTTGCTATATAGAGACTGAATTCTTAGGAGCAGGATTTTTTCCCCTAACATCTAACACACCCAAGTTGTGCCCTGGATAGCAGCCAAGACATCTGCTCCCAAATAAATATTAATGCTACACCTCAGCGTGCACCCTCTGATAGTTGTCGGGACTGCCATTCACAACGCACATCTCACCAAGAGATTTTCCTGCACAGCACTCCAAAGCTCTAACAAGCTTTGAGCAGACGACAAAACAGTCTGGCAAGCTGGCAGTGACAGCAAAAATGGACATTTTTGCAGCAAACCCAGAGATTTATACGATGTCTTCCAGAGCAGCAATACATTATGGAAACACCACACATCTGCATAATTGCACTCTACATGATGCCATCTAATCCACACAGCCCACTGCGCTGGAATATGTGCACTGATCCCCTAAGGTACACTGGGCTCCATTTAAAACATATTAGCACTAATCATAGCATCTTCTCACATTTCCTATGCAAGAATAAACAGCAGAAGGAATTAATTGCTCTCCCCTCCCCCCTAGCACTCTACAGCACATCGTGCCCCACTCACAGCAGACCTGAGACTCAGCACGACACAGGTTATCTCCTTATGGAGGTAACATCACTATACACAGCCAATGGATTTAATTTTCCACAATCTGGCTGGTTTAATGGTAATTAGTCTCTTTAAGAGCTTTATACTGAAACATGGACACCCCTAGACCAGCCTAGCTCAGGCAAGCTGTTGTTATAGGGCCAATGCCAACAGCCTGTCTCAGAAGCCCCTTTGGTCACAGACCCTCTTTTCTGGTTGCTCACCCTCCTTCTGTTCCATCAAATGTACGTAGGACACTTCTGGGCTCCAGCTCACAGCTCTCAGCTGCCACCAAAGGCCAAATGTAACAGCAGTGGCAGAGCCTCTGCCACGTTTCGGTTCCAAATCTCAACCAGAGCAGGTGTACAAGCTGCAGGAGCCCACGGGTGCCTCACACCCACAGCACACACTGACCCATGAGGCTGAGCTGGAGCTGCAGCTCTGCAGCTTCTCTCAGTGTTGGCACCAACTCACCAAACTGAGCTCCGAGTTTTTCATACTAAAGAGCAACTGGGTCTCTCCTTCCCTCTTGCCTGCGTGTCTTGTGGACTCCAGCAGCATCTGCACATGGGATGGTGGGGAATGTAAGGGAGATATAAATTAGCAAAAAGTTAGAGCTGAGTTGGGAAAGGCACACAGAAAACAGAAAGCTAAAGGGACCTCATGGTGCCAGTGCTGTTTCTGAGATAACTCATTTGAAAGCAAAAGGGGAATAATATATTTGAACTGAGGCAGAATTACACAATGGGGAGGGGCTGGGACACTACCCAGTTGACAGAGTCAGCAATAGAAGAGAGCCTTAGTCATGCATCAAGAGAGGAACTGGATATATTTTTGGAAGCAGAGCAAACTGAGGCATAGATTCACTGGCCAAGGTTAAACGAGTTGGAAAAGAAAGTGATTTATATGTCCTGGGCTGATAAGGGCAGGTCTTGCTGGGCTTTCAGGGCAGACTTTCCCCATTTCTTTGTGTTCCTACGTTGCTTGGATGCTCCGTTCATACTGATGAGATTAGATGTAATGACTTTGGAACTGTGAAGGCATGATTGCCTTGAAACTCTAAGTCAGTGGGATGAATCCAGATCGCCTTCCCCTGAAGTCAGCAGGGAAAGGCTGAGCTGAAACCAGTTTGGCAAAATCAGTACTCAGCTTTTAGCATAACATGACATAACACAACATAACATAACACAACATAACATAACATAACACAACACAACATAACATAACATAACGTGTAGCAAAAATAACAAACACGACATTGTTTAGCTTAAGCGAAGGTAGCAGGTGTGAGCTCTTGAAGCTTTGAGCTTATGTCAGAGAAGGGATATTCTTTCTTTCTCTGCCGTGAAATATTTTTGTGATGCAATATTCAGTGGCAATCAAAGCACATTTGGGCTGAAATGCAAGCTGAGGTTTTATGGCTCCCATTGGTTCAGCATCTCTGAAAAGTCAGTGCTGTGCATATGCACAATCTCAATGGGGAAATAAGGATGAAGCATCCTGGAGGGGAGACCAGTTCTTCCCTGGCTCACATTTAAACCTGTCCATTCGAGCACGTGTATCACGTCCAGCACCACCTACTAAGTGGAAATTGAAATCCTTGAACCAAGGGGAGGGAGGAGGCGTATGGGGGTGTCTTCCCTCTAGATTTGGTAAATGAGAACTAAAAGTTACGTCAGGTTTTCTCAGAAGTTAATCTGTGGCTCCCAGGCCAACATGGGTTGTTGCCAATGACAATCTGATTTCTGCATCAACAGGTCACAGAGATCAGGTGGGGGCAAAGGGAGTGCATATATCAGCCCAATGACACAAGGTTGGGCTCTCTGTCCACTGTCTCCTTCCCCTTTGGCTGGTGTCTCCCTGTCCTGAGGCTGGGGGTGTGGGATAGAAGTAACCCTTTGAAAAACATAACCCAGCTGTACTCAGAGGCAGCTGCTGGCCACCCCTGGCAGGCAGCTGTGGTGCTTCCTGGACAGTCAGGGGATTCTGTAAAGCCAGGAGGTGAAGTGCTGTGTAACATGCACTGTGTTTACTGAAAGCTAGGCAGGTGAGGCAGTGGCTGTGATACCCGTGCTCACCATGTCACACTGATCTCCTTGCTGCCTCTGCAGGGCCCAGTAGCTTGGGCATTGCTCTCTTGCCTCCTCTTGCATCCTGGTTATTGTCCTGATGCACAGACAATACACCACAGGTCTGTGTCTCAGGTCTGCCTGTCAGACTCTACAAGAGGTCTAAGCACAGAAGCCACAGTGGTAAATGCCACTCAGCAGCCTGATGGGGAGGTGGGTGCCACTGCTCTGGAGGGGCCAACCTTGCTTCAGGTGAGTGGTGTGGCCTCACCACACACACTGACCTGGCTGACAGTCTTCCCTGCTGGGTAGGCTGCTCTGCAAAACCAGGTGAAATGGATGCAGGAGCTATTTTCTGAGAAGACAGCATCAGACAAGAGGCACCACTGATGCAAAGTGTGATGTAGGGTGTGAAATCTGCATCCCAGTGCTTGGAGTCAAAAAAGAGGAGAGAGGTGAGAGTTGTACAGGATGAATCTCATAGCCTGGGAGCCTGGCTATGCTGTGAACACACTGGGGCAGGAGGTCCAGCTACAGCTGCCAATTAGTTCTGGGCAATCTGAGGACATTTTGGCCACCAGATTTAGACAGCTTATCCCAGCCTCTCCCCAAAAGCCTGAGAGAGTTTGGCCCGATTTGTCCTGATGGGATTTTGGATCAAGCCCAGAAGGTATGAGGGTTCCAACAGAAGATAGCTGGGACCAAAGCTACTCAAAGGACTCTAAAGACAAGCTGATAAAAAAACTTTTATGACACAGTGCCCATTTTATAAATGAAGCAAGAGATAAGAGGAGATAACAGATTAGAGAAGATAAACCCTCTACCGGTCCTCTACCAGTCTATGATACGGATCATACCAACCTCCAGCTGGCTTTGCCCAAGGCCCTCAGATCCTGTGGGGCTGAGGCCTAAGGTAAAACATCAAAACATCAAGAACTAAATATAGATCTCCTGGTTGTGGCCATGATTCCCGAGTAATAAACACAACTTCGCTCACAATGAAACACTGAGTGGATAAAAACAGCCTTAAATAAAACTGTAACAATAAAACATTTAAGTTTTATACTGAAACGTAGACATCTGGGATTGTGACTGGGCTGAGGAAGGCAAAAACTTGCAGCATCTTGAAGGTACATCTATAGGTCATGGTTGAAGAAATCTCAGAAGCAAAACTTGCTACCACCACCCCAGGTTTAGGCTCTGATGCTAATGGTGTGGAATTATAACTGCATCAGCCATGACTGTATCATAAAAATAAGTTCAAAAAGCAGTTTGAAATGAATAGTGCATACTAACAGCAAACTAGTGAATTCCTCTCATCCTCATGGTCTTGACTTGTGGACGCCCAGCACTGCAAGTTGTACATTGGTTGCACTCTCAGCTAGGGATGTCTGTAGCACCTGACTGAAGAAATTCTGCATTTCCTGACTTGTTCTTATTTTTCAAACATCTTGGAAGAAACAGCTATACATAATAAGGTACATTTCCTTCTCAATCTTTGAACAAAACCAACCAGAAACAGAGAAAAAGTGGCTTATAGCCAAGACTTTCTTCAAAACATCTGCTCTTCAGGCTCTGTGCCCTGTGAAACCAGATTTTAATGAAGAGGGAAAGGAAGAGGAAGCAAAATAACCTGTGGCTTTGCATCTGAAAAACTGGATGGTTACATTAGGCTTGCTTTACCCTGGCTTTGAGCACAGGTGTTAACTAAAGAAAATGTGTTGCTTTCCTGAACTGCGGTCTGCAGTAATAGGGCAAGGAGTGCATGGTCTGATAGGAAAGAGTCTGTTTCAATCAAACCAAGCAAGTTAGTGGAGTACAAAATTCTCTTTCAGTTGCTACATTTTGAATTTATACACTATGTAGCATAAACGTGTTACTGGCTATCACTGCTTCCACAAGTACAGCCGAGCCAAGTTGGATGCACTGTGAGTTTGAAAATGTCAAGAATTAGCACATTTATGACATTAACTGCCAAACATTTCAGAAATTACTCTTTCGCTAAATCTTAGCACTAAATCCTCTTATATAACCTAAAGAACAGATCTCTTTTTGTTTTTAAAATGTACTCAGTGTTGTCTGCTTGGCTACCAGCTGCTGCTATCAGCCCGCTGTGGTCGGTAACTGTAAATGTGGGGGGCCATTTTGAAACCAAAAGAGATCAAGGACAAGAAGAGGAAGTCCAACAACTTGAAGATGCTATCATCAATCCACAGCTGGCCAGGAACAGGAAGCAAGCGGGGTTGGCATACATAACATACAGCCTCTACAGCAGATGGACAAACAAAAATTAAAGGCTGTAGAAATCGTAGAGATTATTTCTCTGTGGGCATTGTTATTGCTTCAGGCTGGTCATCTGTGAATGAAGAACAGGCATTAAGAGCATGGGCTGTCTCAGTGTGCAGGCGAGGGACAGTTTGTCTTACAGCACAAATGGTTTTATAGCTGGCTTAGAAAGGGAGCAGGGCAAAGCACAGAGTGAAAAATAACAATCTGCAAGGGAACATGAGGACCAGACTTGGTTCTCATGAATGTCAGAACTTTGTATTGACCACAGTGCAAGGGTATTCAGGTCCTGTGTAGTTTCATCACCAGTTTAATTATAGGAGATGAAATGCAAAATAAAACACAGCTTCTCATACACAGCTTTCAGGGAAACATAATGTTATCGTCACCTCGGGAGCCTGTGTGCAATGGAAAATCTGCCATTGGGAGAAAGGCCATTTCAGGCCAAACATGAAAGAACCAGATGTGGTAAGGCACAGCAGTGGCTGAGAACAGGCCTGGAAAGGCAGGAGTGCTGGATTAGCTGAGCCACAAGAGTATCACTTTCTGCTCCCTCCCAGCACCAGGTCCAAGGTGAGGCCTCTGCTCGGGGGTCTCAGGAGCACGTTTGCTGGTGTGCTGTGTCCTCTGAGGGTGGCAGATGCTTGTGCTCTGGCTGTGACCTCCCTTGCAGCTGGATGATGCCACAGGGGCTGTCAGCAGCACACCACGGCGTCCCTGCTGCAGCTGCATGGAGAAAGGGGACGCCCAAAGGGTCTACAACAGCTTTCAACTCCTTATGATCCCTGAAGGCCAGTGCGAATGAGAAGAACTCTCAAGCCTGAAAGGACCAAAGCATTAAGGCTAGTGCCAGGCACAAGACAGGGAAAGGAAAGCATTACACCCTGACTTGCAGCCAGAGGAGCTCAGCCAGCTCGAAGGAGCTGACCCACAGCTCATTAAACACTTCACAGT